GGGGGGGGGAGGGGGTCCAAGGTAGAGGTCAATGAATAAGTATCTGCAGGCTGAATCCCCAATCCTCCAGGGTGACTGTAGGCTAATTAATAATTAATGCCAGAGACAGTGCGTTTGAAATGCAGATGTGATAACTGCGGGCTTGGCACGGCGGTACAGAGGAAGCAGATTTGGGAGCTACGGGGAATCGGCACTCCCCGGTTAGCGGGCTGCGGCGGCAGGCTTGGGTGCAAAGCAAGGCCGATGGTTTAGATTAGATTCCCTTCAGCCGCTAATTACCTGAACCCACTTTGAAGTTCCTCCCTCTTCGGGACCAGGCAGGGTGGGGTGGGTGGGGGGGGGGCGGGGTGGTTATGCTGGGGTTTGGCCAGGGGACTCGGGGAAAGGATCAAATGGTAATAGTCAGGGGAAGAGGGAGAGTAAGGAAGGGTAAGAAAGGAGGGCTAGAAAATGGCTAAAAACAAGAACAAGAAAAGACTATATTTATATATCTAAGTTATATAGCTGACATTTTTTATAAAGTGTTTACTTAGGTTCAAAATCTGTATTCTGGGAATAAGGGTGCCACTTAAATGTTCGTATTTCATAAAGGCTTTGTGAGGGTGTGTGTGTGTGCGTGTAAGACTAGTACCACAGGAAACATGAGAGTTTAGCAGTGAATCAGGTGGTATCCATCACACTGAGTGTCACGGAGTCGTAGTGCAGACGCACCTCTGCCACTGGGTGCGGAGAACATACCAGAACAGTGCTGTGATAGAAATTCGATGAGGCCGCACAACTTCGCCGCGATGAAGGCCCAGCGTTCCCCGGAAGATTCTGGCTTGCTTGCCGTGAGCCCAGAGGCACATCGAAATGCCGCACATCTTACCAGACAGTATGGTCATAAGCCTTATTAAACCGTTGCCAAAGAACTTATTTATCTAATCTGCTCAATTTGCTTTACTATGTCCCAAAAGTCTTAGGAATCCAGTTATACAAAATTGCAATTTCAACTTAATCTGGTTAAACAAGCTAAAACAACGGGAGCCGGGACATCACCAACGGAATGAATCGCTTCCATAAACAAGACAGCTAAATGTTTTATCCGTCCGGTGCGTCTACCTGAAAATGAAATAAAACCCACCATGAAGTTTTTTATAATCTTTAGCGGGTCTCCTAAAGTGCGACCGGCTGGATGCAGCTCATCATTTTGTTTATTTTGTCGTTATTTAACGTTTCGGTTCACGTTCGAAGGTCATGCAGTGGCGCACACTCAGCCCTCACTCAGTGAATTTCAATATTAAACAGATGAGTCACACCAGTGGTTATGGAAAACAAGGTAGCTTTAATGGTGGCATTCAAGTCCCCATCCCCCCTTGTCACCGCCCCCCCCCACACACACACACACACACCCACTTGGCCTTGAGTCCAGGTTTGGGATCCTGGTATTGTCGGAAGGGTCCAGTGGAGAGTGTTTGGAAAGGTGGATCTGTTACAGGGAGCCCCCTCTACAGGTCAGCATCCATTGTGAATGTTGTGGGGGGGGGGGGGGGGGGGGGGTGTGTGGATGGGTGCCCATGAAGAGTCCGTTTGAAGTTAGAGAGATCGTACTGGGATGCGGCGTTGTGAAGGACATCGCTGACTCCAAGGCTCGGGGCAGAACAGGACGGCCGACCCACCTTTCCAAAAGAGACATTTGTTAGCAAACCCAGTTTAAAGACAGAAACTGCTAATTAAAAAGCTCGAAAGTATATAAGGACAGGTGGATCAATCAGGGAGGAGGGGGGGGCCATGCTGGACGAGGCCGAGGGTGTGGATCCGTTTCTGACAGTACTGTAAAAATGTTTTGGGGGAGCATTTTAATTTCTAATGAGGTTCAAAGCGCCAACAAAAGCCTGCAAATAGGAAGCTGTTAGAAAATGTAACAAATGTAACAAATACTGAGAAACCAGCAAGGTCCGCTAGGCCATGCTTTTGCCACTCATTCCAGCTTTATTAACAATGAAAAATCGAGGTAGTCTGCAGCTTATTTACCGGCCACGATGTTGTACAAATTTGCTGCTAATTTTAAGCATAAAATGTCCATTATCTCGCATTACACCCTGCATACATGTACCGATCTGTGTAGGCGGTATGAATACTCCATTGGTTATTTATGCTACGAACGTTATCATCAGAGCAACAAGTATGTTAATAGAACTGTCAGCAAGGCGAACAACGCATTATTAAGGTTGTCACTTAAAAATGTCTGTATTTTACGTACTAATCGTTTTAGGATTGCTCCACATTATTCTCCGCACATATAGGAGGAATATAACGGTAATCAGATGGCAGGGATGACACCAGCGCAAGGATGACGCATTTTAGGAAGTAACAGGAAATCTTTTCGATTTGTTTATAGAAGATCGTGTTCCACAATATTATCTTCAAGCACTTTTTGGTGTAATATGTTCAAAAGTACAAATGATTATTTAATTAGATTTAATTCTTTGGGGGGCAAAGGGTAGATTCGAGCGTTGTTTCAATATCCTCTATTTATAGATCAAATCATTTCGGTTACAGTCGCAATAAAATAATGTCTTGCCACTTTCTGCATGCATTAATACCACGTGCACTGAGAAGTGCGCACATGCTAATATAAGTATTATTTAGGTGGCAATACTTTCTTAGTAACACAACATGCTATTTGCAGTTTTTATAGCGCGGCGTGAGAATTTAACTTGAAATTGATGTTAATGTTGACGACAAGGCTCTCGTCGCATTTTCACTCCATTTGGGTGCAAACGACGGTAAATATTTCAGTAGTGAGAGCTGGTATTTGTGTCTGTGTTTTCACCTGATTATTCTGACTCTGAGACGGTTCATACCCCTCGAAAAGCACCTCGGGGCGTTTATGTATCATTCACCTCCATCTCTCTGGCGCACGGAAACTGTGCCTTCGACTCTATTTATAAGCAAACTCACAAATTATTAGGAATACTTTTGGAAATGTAATAAACGCAAAGAGACCCTTCGCGGCTGCTGTAATTTGTATTTAAACAATTTCGGTAAAATGTGTGTGATGCAGCTTATTTTTTCCCTCATACGCACAACTTGAATTATTAGCATCATAAGCATTATTAATATTAGTGCGGCTGTTGTTGTTTTTGCGGTTTATAATCAAGTTTATGACCCAGTCAACACTGTTCTGAGGAATGATCTCACACTAATAGCCTACGGATGAAGGCTATATTGCATACCTTTTTTCCATATTGGTCTCAGCCACGCGATGACACCGTGGAGGAGAGAAACTCACCCTTGGTTTGTCGCTTATGTGTCACCATGCCGCAAACGTGAAACATTGCCCCATATAAACTGTTTTTTTTTCCAGTCTTGTCTACTTACCTATCTCTATACCTGCCTTTAGATGTTACAGGTTGGCCGGCTAATTTGTCTTCTTCTAAGCAGTTTGTGAAAAAGGTTTCATTTTTATATATTGAAAAAAAAGTCTCGCATGTTTTTTGTCATCGTTTTGGAGTTGTCCCAGAAAGGAATGGTACTCCTGCGTGAGTTTTAATTGGCTCAGAAAACGAAATTGAATCGAAGTTCATTATATACGAAATGCACTTACAGGTTCATGCAAGTTTATTTTCCTGTGCTTTTGTGTCGCAGTAAAGTATAGGGTATGAATTAATGTGTCCTTGTGCACGTTATCTTATTTTTTTACATTTTCTTGAAGAAAACAATCCATTTATTTAGATAATCTGTTCGTAGTGAAGGAAGTAATAGTTACTTACGTACATTCGATATACTGTAAAAACAAATGAGTAATGGGACACGAGAGTAGAAAGTTGGAGAGTATGAATCGAACTGCAATGTTAGTATATAAGTATAAATAGGATTAAATACACAACAGCACCGCTGCATTTTCTTAAAAATTGAAGAATTTGTTAATTAAATATTTTGTAAGGGCGAGAACTGCATTTTTTCATTTCATATGAAAACAAGGAATCAAGGCACATAAAGTTTGTAATGGATATTTTAGTAGAGGTGACAAGAACATCAGAGTAACGACATTAAAAGCGGCATCTCAGGGAACAATTAACCAACTCACAGCTTATTTTAAATATAAGATTCCTGCTATTTTCCCATGACTTGAGGTAACAGATGATACATAAATATTAGTTTTTCGTTTCATTTCCGGTTAGTCTTTGACAGGCGAGTTAAACGTGGGAAGGAATGAAGAAGTCAGATCACATCACATTATTACACTTTCTACTTACTAGGTTAAAATAAAAAGCAGAGAAAGTGGATTAATGCATTGAAAAGCCGGTATAACACACTTTTTTGTTGTACATACACACACACACACACACACACACACACACACACATAGCAACCTGCAGAACTGTCTTGCACACCTGTTTAGTTGTTTTTCAAAACACGTCTTCGTTTACAGCAAAAGCATAATAACCTTTATTGTACAACTGTACTGTATTCGAAGGACGGAGATGCGGTTATAACGAATTAACTTCTTAAAGTAAGATTATACTGTACAAGCCAATAGCTTGTTCTTACTAAATCCAAAACATTAAAATATTAATACTAATGAGCGGAAAAGCGCCGGTGTGCCGTAAACAGTAAAGAAGTCTTATATATTATTGCAATTACAATACACTGAATGCCGTTGGGACCCTAATTAAATAACTGGTTATTGGAAATGGGGCTATTTATGGGCAAAATGAATACTTAACAGTTTAAAAAACAGAAATGAAAAACCTGAAAACTCTGATGTTAATTTACCTTAAATATGAACGCAGAACGTCATGGATTCAAATAACAGAAGAAGTCTCTATGGAATTCATCTAAGAATAGCCATTATTCGTGAATGGTAATACGGACATTATATTAAAACAGATGCGTTTACATGCTTAAAAAAACTCAAAACACAGACTAAATAATCTATGAAGTCGGATAAGTCAAGCAGTATGGCATGGTGGTATGTGTCTGTCTTTAAATCGGACGTTGTATCTGGGGATGGACTAGGGCAGCAGCAGCAGATCAATGTGCGGACGCTGAACTTTCTTTAGGTCGAGGATCAAACAATGCACTGTCTGACGCACGGTTTCCACTTAGCGTCCAAGGAAACAGGGCTTCAAGCAGTCACATACTGTTATGGCCCGTATTTTACAGCACCGCACTAATAGAAAGCGATGCCTTTAGCAACGCTTAGAAAGCAAGAAAGTACGACAGTAACGACGATAACAGTAACAGCAAAATGAGTATAATGGTTTTTTTTTTCTTCAAATTTGTTATAATAAATCAGGCGTGTTTTAAAGTAGATAGGCCTACAAAAAAACCTAATGAATACCAGATAATAATAATATTAATAGTACGACTACTAATAATAAGAAGAATAACATTATTATTATTATTATTATTATTATTATTATGTTTACACGTGTGTCCTATATTTACACAGAATAAACTTTCAGCGAGGTGCAGGTTTAATAAAATGTCTGTTAATTCATACGCGTTTTTCCTCTTTTGTTTATGATAGACCAGCGTCTTGGTAAGCTGGCTCCGGGACTGTCACAGCTCACCCCAGTTTGTGTCCTACATCCTCTTTACTTTGGCGTTACTAATGCATTTCTTCCACTGTGGTCTCCCTGCCAAAACTGCCCTGAGGTCCCATTTCATTGGGGGCAAAATCACCATCACTCTTACGTTCTCTTCTATTGTGCGTATCTGTATAGAGGCACAAGGAGCGTTTAACTGCATAGAGTATGTTACGGGAATATTATAAACACTGGAGTGTCCTCCGTACCGAGCAGAAAGCAATGTAAGGTTCATTAAATCGACCAAGGTTTCCCGTTGCTTTCACTCATTCTCGCAATGCACCGCGATACGTGCCTGAAAGATTTTAGATACTAAACTCAAAATATTAATGGGACTATACAGCCTGACAACGGGATGATGTTAGATTTGTTTTCATTTGCCGTTAGTATGCTAAATAATATTGCAGTTCCCCCATAATTAATTAGAATTTCCTTTATTATTGCACCGATAAGCAGTTATATATAATTATCTTTTTCAGAATTGTAAATAAATAAATAGATGATATATATTTCCATGCAATCCAAATCAGAATAAGCGAGTAGAAGATGGATGGATATTATGTATTTGTGTAGGCCTGTATTTGTAAATAACTTTTATTGACGTCCGATTGATGTTTAACGTCATGATTAGTGTTTCATTGCTAAGCAAGTACAACTAAAATTACAGCCATTTGGAATATAACGTTACAGAGGCCTTTTTAAACTATACGTTTGTCTCAATATTATATAAACCCTATGATATTCGTTTTCTATGTTAATATAAATGCAATAAACGAGATAACCTTCATAACAAAATTAAATAACCCATAGATGTATACTTAGTACGTAATATGTGAGCGAGACGTGATTAATTTCAGAACAGGGTAATCTTTGCGCTCTAGCTTTTATTGCAAAATGCAGCAGTTGCTTCGCTGTTGAAAATGGTAAAAGCACCGAAAACGTGCAAACTTCTCAGCCTTAAACGTCGCAGTGTTGTATTTACAACATAGCGGGCCACAGGAATTGTTTAGTAAGGGATGGGGGGTGGGGTGGGGGGACCAGTCAGCGGTAGCTTAAGAAGGTGACTGGGATGTTGAAGAGGTCATGACACGCGGGTGACAGTTCCTGCGCGGAGCCTGATATTGTATTCAGTACACAAGTCTGGTTCGCCTTTATGTATCTAAAAAGGCAAGTGCGGCACAGCTTCTGTCGTAAATAGTCCAGAAATAAAACGTGCTCATTTATTTTTGTACTTAGTCCAAACTCAGGAGTTTAAAATACAAAATTAGGAGCTATATTATATTTGTATATTTGCATTTTGAAAATATTTACTTATATTTGTTAGAAATGTATTATTGGTTTTAGCGGTATAAATGAATATTCCTTTAAACAGAGATAAAAGGGTACAGTTTCGCTCCCGCCCGGTATGGGTAGTTTTATTCAAGCGTTTTTGGACCGAACTTCTGTATATTGAAATAATCACACTGAATCTTACTTTTGAATAAGACAAGCAACACAATATGCGTCAAAACAAAGAGAAAAATGAACCGATGGAAAGTTTTTTTGCCCGGAATATTTAACTACAACAATGTTAAAGTTGCCTGAAACTACTTTACGTTTATAAACATTTACAAGGCCCTTAAGCAGCGTGTCAAATATATTCTGTTCATCGCAATTATGCCACATCAATGATAGATGTGCTCTACTTATAAGTATGAGAGCAAATGGGTGGGGGGAAAGAAGGCGCCAAGTAAAATAGCCTACTTTTAATTTTTGATTTTTGTTAATTTGTTATCATCATTTTAATTACAGATTTTAATACGAGACGTTATGGACATTTCGGCGAGTTCGGAGAAGTGTCAAAACCCCAGTTTGTTGTAACAGTAGCTTCGGATAGTCTTATTTTCACCAGCGTATACAACGGGCCCTCTTTTGAATGAGGCTCTTTATTACGCTCGGGACGGGGATTTGTGGCCGCGGCCACCTTTTATTTCACTCTCTATGGAAACCCGGATCGCGCGAAGAAAAATGTGGGTCTGAATAAAGAGAATCGGCACAAGGAACGGCTTGAGAGCAGCATCTGTTACACTTGGAAACTTAAACTATCGAGAGAGAAGCACAGCGGCAGCCCCCTCTGCTCTCCCACCATTGCGCTGCTTTGGATTTTCACAAACCAGTCGGCTTTTGTGCAACGGGGGAACAAATAATAATAATAATTCTATCCATTCTATCTGAAACTAAACCTGTCAAACTTTATTTAATATTGAACCTTGAGCCAATTCTTCAAAAGGTCGGTAACGAGATTTCAGACTGCACCTTACTAATCTGCTAAATTAGCCTATTCAGAATAAACAGATCATAAAATTGAGAACGACTCCATTCGCTTTTGAAAATTTCACCGCATCATTCAATGTGGCATATATAAAAATATGATGTTAAGACGAAGTGTCAATATTCCATTTTTATATTAGTAACGTCACCGTTTCGGATAAAGCTTCGCTGGCAGACAATGCAAACAGCGCCTGGCATGTTTCATCTGTATTGATAAACTGAAAGCGATACGGCACACTAAGATTTCAAATGATATTCATTTAACATTTACGGCGAATTAATGTTTTTATTGCTATTTGACTCAGACTTCTTTTGAAATATGTAGTTATTGTCCAATAGTCGACTTCAATGCCCTAATTCGCATATAAGAATAATGTAATCATATTCTCGGGTTACGGTAGGACTGATAATCAATATTCAGCATGTAATTATTATCATTATTATAATTATCATTATTTAAGATAAAACACCCATAACCCACTATTACTGTCAATGTTTACATAGCATCTGGAATGCGTCGGTGCCCGGTTTTCCAGCAGACCTCAGATTAACTTTAACTCGCAAAGTAAATGCAGTAAATAACTTACGCTTTCTTAATATCACAGTAAGAGCGCTCACCTGTTCTCGCCTGAGCTTCCTCACAATTCGCTTCTGATCACTCTCCTTTAGAGAAACTGCAGTCTTTAATGAGTTTCTGCTGGCGGCTGGCCTTCTTTTATTTCTGCTAAATGTATGAAAATGTATGCAAATTTAAATCAAGCTTAACCTGGGAGCTCTTGCAATATATTTAATGGAATTTCAAACCAATAAGGGGACTCTGATGTAGTCTTCTAATGGCAAATATAATTACGCAGCTAGGTAACCTGTAAAATATGCGGAGCGGTCTTTTTTCAACTTTGTGAAGACCTGTCTAGATTCTTAAAGAACTACCAGCAAGTTTGCACAATATATACACGACTCACAAAAAAACTGTTTGCTTACCAGTCCTATGTAGAGGTTTTTATGCATTAACGGCAAAAGAAACGCAATAGACCAACCGTTACTTTCCACGCAGAATCAGTGCATGTGAAACATAAAACTTTTCCTCATTACAATTTAGGGATATCGATTTTGAATATAGTTGTATGTCTTGGGTTTGGCCTTGCTATATTTAGCCTGTTTAAAATCATTATGCGGTCAGCTAGTGACTTATTTTAGTTTTAGTCTGAAAACAAAAGCATATACTTAGTCACTCTTCTTTTTGGATCTTTTAAAAATAGCGGTGACGTTTCCAATAAAACTCACCAAGCTTAATGAACTGCATTTATAGTGTAACACCTCGAAGGAATGCAGCTATGCGTTCTGTATTTGGGAATTTTCCCGTGGGGTTCTCGAAAGTCATCAGGATGTCTCACATAACCAATAGCAACCGGACGGGATTTCATGCCCTTTTGGGCGGGGAAAACACCAATAGTAATAACCGAGGCTTAAATAAGTTAGGAAATAGTTAATAAGATCTGTGAAGCACGGACAGTCAATTACACAGCGGTACCCAATAGAGCCCGCAGACTTAGTCACTTCCTGTTTTGTGTCAGTTTTCTCTTCAAGCTCCCGCAAACCCAATTTGATAGACCAGAAACAGCCTCCCGCTTCGCCATTGGCTGAAACTGGAGCTAGCTCGCTCGAGCAGCGCTCCGATTGGAGCAGCGGCCTGCCAATTATTAACTGCTTGCTGATTTGGCTCCCTAGCCTGGTAGATGTCAAAGGCTGAAGCTGTTCCCTTTGCCACATTATAACTAGTAGGGGATCTACAGTAAGCATGGCCACAGCTGCCTCGAATCCCTACAGCATTATCAGTTCCAACTCTATGGTTCATGCAGACTCCTCGGTCATGCAACAAGGGAGCCCTTTCAGGAATCATCAGAAACTTCTCCAAAGTGAATACCTACAGGGAGTCCCGAGCAATGGACACCCTCTTGGGCACCAGTGGGTGACCAGTTTATCCGAGGGAAGCCCATGGTCGACCTCTTTAGCGACCAGTCCTCTGGAGCAGCAGGACGTGAAACCGGGACGGGAAGACCTCCAACTCGGGGCGATCATTCATCACAGATCCCCTCATGTCGCCCATCACTCGCCCCATACAAATCATCCAGGTGCATGGGGGACACCAGTGTCTCATAACTCATCTATAAACACCGGTGGACAGCCTATCAACATCTATTCGCAGCCTGGCTTTACAGTCAATGGCATGTTGGAGCACGGAGGTCTAACGCCACCCCCGAACTCAGCGCAGACCCAGAGCTTACATCCAGGGCTGAGAGACACCCCGGACCACGCCGACATCGGGGCGCACCACTGCCACGACCACTCCGATGAGGAAACTCCGACCTCGGACGAGCTGGAACAGTTTGCCAAACAGTTCAAACAAAGAAGGATCAAACTGGGCTTTACGCAGGCAGATGTCGGACTCGCGCTGGGGACTTTGTACGGCAATGTCTTCTCGCAGACGACCATCTGCAGGTTCGAGGCGTTGCAGCTCAGCTTCAAGAATATGTGCAAACTGAAGCCCTTGTTAAACAAGTGGTTAGAGGAGGCAGACTCCTCTACGGGCAGCCCCAGTAGCATTGATAAAATTGCAGCGCAGGGGAGGAAAAGGAAGAAAAGGACCTCCATTGAGGTGAGCGTCAAAGGGGTGCTGGAGACCCACTTTCTTAAATGTCCTAAACCAGCCGCTCAGGAGATATCCTCTTTGGCAGACAGCCTACAGCTAGAGAAGGAGGTGGTTCGTGTCTGGTTTTGTAACAGAAGACAAAAGGAAAAAAGAATGACTCCGCCAGGAGAGCAGCAACAGCACGAGCTGTATTCTCACAACGTCAATACGGACAACTCATCGTGCCACGATCTCTGACCAAGGAACCGGGATCCACCCTGCGAGACTCCAATACCGAATGGAAATCTAGTGGCTTTTTAAATTATGGGTCTTCTTTTTTTCCCACGTATTCCCTCTTTCTGGTTGTGTGACGATGACAAATTACTAGAGGCACCGAGAAAGAAAACAAGTACAAAAAGTTTCATTGTTTTTTCTTTTTGTCTCAAGCATTTTCAGCAATACGTCAAGGCAATCCGGTGTTTATTTCCATCTCGGCGGAACCCTTTTATTGCCTACGTTTAATTTTATTTTTTTTAATTTTATTTGACCATTATTACTCTTTTTACAGCAAGGATATAAACACAAAATCGTGCCTATTAATAACCTTCCAGCGCCTTGGTTATATATAAATATAAATATATATATATAATTTCTCGAAAATATTTTGTAATATTTTATTTTGTGAGTGTGTTGCTTGGCTATTTGATTCGATAAGGTGTTTTACTGTATTTACACGACAGCTAAACCGTCCAGCAGCATGGGATACTAAGGCAAAGAATGCTGTTTATTTATTTATTGGCTTTGAAACGGACTTTACGTGCCAACGGTTTCAAAAATCATATATATATATATATATGCTTTATAGCAATAGATCACTTAGGTAGCCATTTTAAGGAACTTTGTGAAATGCCTATTCTCAACAGTAAGACACCTTAGTGGCGGAACTCAAGGCTTCCTTTAAACCCGATAGTTCTGTCTCAGCTGTTCTGCGCCAGCATTTTCTCGTTTTCATTTCGAGCAATGAAAACCTGTGTCTGTCACATGAAGTTTTCATGATTATATTCTAGGTCTAAAGCAGCGATGCGAATCCAACACTCCACGAACAATTATTCAAGCCCAAACTTACTTTCCAAAAAGAATATATATACTGTGTTTTGAAATGCAACGCAGAGGTGTATGTGCAGTATTTTATGGTTCTTTGTGTAACCGCGAAAATTGGATTTTAGTCATATCCTCGACCATATTACTGTGCTAAATACTGGCCGTTAAACTAGAACCGTAAGATCCTCGCCAGTCTAAAAGCGTTGTGGCACATTACGGCATCATTTTATTGTACACGCTGAATATCTAAACTTTTATAATCTTCAATGCTCCAGTTATTGATTTATGTCTTTAATATTTCTTCAAATATTTGCTATTGTACAGTTTTGTATAATACGACCTTTTTGAAGTCATTAATTTAAACAAATACCTTTTAGTTTATTCATGCACCTAGTGCTGTAAAAAAAAAACAATATTTTCATTAAAAGTCGACGTTTTCAGCAGTTTTATTCCAAATATGATGGAAGTTCAAGCGATTATTTATTTTGAGTATAAACCTTGTATTATGTTTTCAAACAAACTGTAAAACCGTTATTAAAATGTATGTTGGAATAAAAACACTTGTTGTTACAATTTTGGTGTCAATCTTTAGATAAGGACCTATAGGTAATATATTTTATGTTAACTGCTATTTGGAAATGCTATTTCACGGTTTCAAAAGCGAGGGGCTGTTAAACATGAACAAGAGCGTTTAGCGCACACTCGTTAATATTTACCCATAGCCTACAATGCACAGACGCAGGCGGGTATGAGAAATGTGTGTTGCTCGTTTTCGAGAAATTTGCTGATTATAAAAGCAGGCGTTTGAAAAAATGAGTTATTTCAGACTACACGTTTAGACCCAGTGCCAATTTTCAACTTTCGTGGTGACTACAGTAATACGAATAATAATAATAATAATAATAATAATAATAATAATAATAATAATAATAATAAGTGATTTATTGAATTTCAAGAATGCACATTAATTTGTAATTATTGTTCAGATACCAACAAACAACTATATTGGTCAGTTTGCAGTAATGTAAACCGTACACGGATGCATAGAAATGTAGCTGCAGTGTCTTTTTTATGCACGTACTTCCATTGTAAACAAGGCATAGAGTATTGCTTAGTGCGTGCAGGCATATACTGCGCTTAAGTCAGGTTACCAACTTTTCTGCAGAAACCCCACTTTTCAGCAGCAAATGTTTTAAATGTTTCTGGCTTATCTGAGGTATCTAAGGTTTTCTCTTCTGAGTACATGCATATAATAATAATAATTATTATTATTATTAATAATAATAATATCCGCGGTGGTGATCGTATGTATTTATATGTATGTATGTATTTTCCTGGACAGTTTTATTTGCTTTTCACGGCAGTAACGGCAGAACCAGGCCTACTGAAATCGCTGTATAACGGGCGAGCGTAATGCCGGGGTGACCTTTCGCAAAGCCGCGATACTTCACACATCGGGCCGTTGACCGTCACGCTAGACACTTAAATACCTACATCTTTATGTTACGTAGGCCACATTCGATATGCAGGCCCGATTTCCCAGTATTAAAGGCCTATAACAACGCCATATGTCGGATGTGTGTGTTGTAGACAGTACTCGCACGTATTCTTATAAAAACTGTATAGGCCTACTCATTTAAAATACTATCTCGTTAGCCCAGTCTCGGAGGTATCCGGGAAGACTATCGGCTCGAGGTCATTGGTCAAGGGCACGGTACAAACTTAAAAATACAGATGTTGTCGCTTGATTCGACGATCTTGTTTATGAAGAGAACATCCAGACGGCACATTCTGTGGGCGAAAATATTCTAAATTACAACAAATTAAATTAAAATGAATTGCAAACATATGAATGCCGCCTTTGAATAAGCAAAGATCAATCGTGAATATAAAACCGAAGGTGAAAAAACCCTTCTGAATAAGCACAATAAAACAACAAAATAGTACAACCAGAAACAACAATAACAAAATGATAACAACAAGAATAACACAATACTACTACTACTACTACTACTAATAATAATAATAATAATAATAATAATTATTATTATTATTATAATTATTATTCCGAAACATTTTATACAAAAACACCTAAAACGTTTAAAATGTTAGAGAAGCTTATTCAATCACCACCATTATAAAGCGCAGCAAAACAGTCACTGTAGAATTACTTGCGAAGTTAACATAGTCTGTAAATATAGAAAAACCCGGAAATGTTACAAATTGGTATCTTGTAGCTTGTTGTGAATTTACAGGATAGGATTTAATGAAATTGAAAACAAAAAAATAATAATAATAAAACACAGGCGGTTGGAGACAACCATAGAGAGAGAGAGAGAGGGAGGGAGGGAGAGAGAGAGAGAGAGCGGAAGGAGTCTTGGCCTTGCCTGGAGATGTGAGCCCTGACTGGAATACTAATTCTGCTTGATGTATGCATTTCCTCGGTCTGCAACTTAACAGGCCTGTGAAGGCGACCGAGGACTAAAGCTGAAATATTGCAGCGAGTACCAACGAAAGATA